ATGAACAAATATCTTACACGTTGGCTATTTTCTACTAATCATAAGGATATAGGTACTTTATATTTACTATTTGGTGCTTTTTCTGGGATGGCGGGGACAGCTTCAAGTATGTTAATACGCCTAGAACTGTCCGCCCCAGGTAGTATGTTAGGAGATGATCATCTATATAATGTGATTGTGACATCACATGCTTTATTAATGATTTTCTTCCTGGTAATGCCAGTAATGATAGGGGGATTCGGAAATTGGTTTGTGCCAATTATGATTGGTGCGCCCGATATGGCCTTTCCTAGATTAAACAATATCAGTTTTTGGTTATTACCGCCTTCTCTAATACTATTGGTTGGGTCTATGTTTGTGGAACAGGGGGCAGGGACAGGCTGGACCGTTTATCCCCCACTATCAAGCATTCAAGCCCATTCAGGGGGAGCAGTGGATATGGCTATATTTAGTTTACATCTAGCTGGTGTATCTTCCATTTTAAGTTCTATTAACTTTATAACTACTATAATTAACATGAGGGTTCCTGGTATGAGTATGCATAGATTGCCCCTATTTGTCTGGTCTGTATTAATTACTACAATATTGTTATTATTATCTCTACCAGTGTTAGCTGGTGCAATTACAATGTTATTAACAGATAGAAATTTTAATACAACATTCTTTGACCCTGCGGGAGGGGGAGATCCTATTTTATTCCAGCACTTATTTTGGTTTTTTGGACATCCTGAAGTCTATATATTAATTCTCCCAGGATTTGGTATGGTATCTCAAATTATACCCACATTTTCTGCTAAACAACATATTTTTGGTTATTTAGGTATGGTCTATGCTATGATTTCTATTGGAGTATTAGGATTTATTGTTTGGGCCCACCATATGTTCACCGTTGGTATGGATGTCGATACTCGTGCCTACTTTACTGCTGCCACTATGATTATTGCTGTTCCTACCGGTATTAAGATATTTAGCTGGCTAGCTACTATATATGGGGGAAGCCTGCGGCTTGATACACCTATGTTGTGGGCTATTGGCTTCGTGTTCCTATTTACCATTGGTGGTTTAACTGGAGTTATATTAGCTAATAGTTCATTAGATATAGCACTACACGATACTTATTATGTAGTGGCTCACTTCCATTATGTGTTATCTATGGGGGCCATATTTGCTATATTTGGAGGATACTACTACTGGTTTGGGAAAATTACAGGTTATAGTTATAATGAATTATACGGTAAGATCCATTTCTGGATTATGTTTATCGGAGTTAATTTAACTTTCTTCCCCCAACATTTTTTGGGTTTAGCCGGATTACCTAGAAGATACTCGGATTTTCCTGATGCCTATCAAGATTGGAACTTAGTGAGTTCTTGCGGGGCTGTAATAGCCCTAGTAGGAATTATATGGTTCTTATACTTGTCTTATGAGGCACTGGCAGCCGAAAGACCATTTAAGGGGTGGTCAACTTCGCCTGGCTCGTTAGAATGGTCTTTATCTTCTCCGCCTGCTTTTCATACTTATAATGAATTACCGTTTGTTTATCAGCGTAAATTAAGTCATGGGGATGATTTAAATATTATTTCCACACTACTCCTTTGACCTTGGGGAGTATATAAGGCAATGTGTTCTTCTAATACATGCAAGGCCCTGAGTCGGGGCCCTACTGGTGAGTATAAAACGGATATTATATCGGTTGACGTATTAGAATAGGCGGGATAGTGGCCCACCTGGTCGAAGATGCGTAGTATAGCCACACTTTCACTGAAACAAGGGGAAGACATTTTGGCAGCAGTAGAGAATCTTGTGCAATGAGTAAACGCTTGACACAGGGTTTCACACTGAGGTCTGTCTAACTAAGTGCCAGCAGACGCGGTTAAACTTAGAGGCCCAGTTTTTATTTCACATTAGGCGTTAAGTATGTAGTGAAGCATGAGAATAAAGTAAGGTAAACCTCTGGGTAGCGGTAAAATGTTTGAAGCAAGAGTGGAAGTTCGAAGGTGGAGACTCCTTACTTCGTTCATGGTGCATATTCATGAAATACGAAAGCCTGGATAGCAAACAGGATTAGATACCCTGGTAGTCCTCGCCCTAAACTTATACAATAGCTTTATTAGCAAATAACCTTATTGTGTGCCTGAATACTTTGATCGCAAGATTGAAACTCAAAAGGCTTGGCTGTTCACTGTTTGAATCAGAGGAGCGTGTAATTTAATACGATGATCCGCGTGTCACCTCACCTTTCCTTGAAAGCGAACCACCTACAAAAGGTAGTCCGCTCAGGCATTGCATGGCCGTCGTCAGGATAACAATAAATGTTATCCTTAACCCAATTATGGATTAAGTCAGGTGTCATGGTCTTTATGGAAAGGGATATTATGCGCTACATTCTCTTAAACAATATACACATTAAATTAAGAGGCGGAGATTTTCTGAAACGGGAATCTTAAGTAGGATTTGATAGTAATCGGGAAGTAGAGCGTCCCGGTGAATTCTCACCCAGTGTTAGCACAAATCGCCCGTCGTCCCCTTCAAGTTAAGGATACGAGACGCCCCGCGGCGGGGTTATCCCTCCTTTTCGAGGATGGGTAAGTCGTAACATAGTAAGGGTAAGGGAACTTGTTCTTGGGCCAAGTTGTGCGCGTTCAATACGTACTTGGCCGCCCTCCGTAACTAGGATGATGAGTACTATTATTTCAATTATCTTTAAAACGCTTGCAATAATAATACCTCTGTTAGTGGCTATAGCTTATTTAACTTTAGCAGAGAGAAAGGTATTAGGGTATATGCAAGCACGAAAAGGACCTAATGTAGTTGGTGTCTATGGACTATTACAGCCTTTAGCTGACGGATTAAAATTATTCACTAAAGAGATGGCTATTCCCAATCATGCTAATTTGTCGGTTTATATTGTCGCCCCGATTCTATCGCTTACTTTAGCTTTTTTGGCTTGGGGGGTTATTCCTTTTAGCCCTGGGATTGTGCTGGCTGATATTAATGTTGGTATCTTATATATTTTTGCTATCAGTTCTATTGGGGTGTATGCTATTTTAATGTCTGGTTGGGGAAGTAATTCTAAATATGCATTCTTAGGGGCTATCAGAGCAGCAGCTCAAATGATTAGCTATGAAGTGTGTATAGGGCTTATTCTAATATCAGTAATATTATGTGCAGGTTCTCTTAATATTACTAAGGTTGTTTTAGCTCAAGCCGAGATTTGGTATATAATACCTTTATTTCCAGCTGCTTTAATGTTTTTTGCTTCGGCATTAGCTGAAACTAATCGGGCTCCTTTTGATCTTACCGAGGGAGAATCAGAGTTAGTATCTGGATATAATGTCGAATATTCTAGCATGTCGTTTGCCCTATTCTTTTTAGCTGAATACGGCCATATTATTCTAATGAGCTGTTTGATAAGTTTATTGTTTTTAGGTGGTTGGGCACCTTTTACAGGGATTCTAGGAATGGGCTGCTTAGCCCTTAAAACCACCGTAGTAGTGTTCGCATTTGTGTGGGTGCGAGCTTCTTTCCCTAGAATGAGATATGACCAACTTATGTATTTATTGTGGAAGTCTTACTTGCCTTTCAGTCTTGGTTTAATCGTTTTAGTTTCTGGCCTGTTGATAGGTTTAGATGCAGTGCCTTGCTAGCATTAGGAGATAACCCCCAATATGGGGGGGGGTTAATGCTCACAAGCTTCCTGAGCGCATGCATATGGAATCACCAAACAAAATGTTACGAATAAGAACTCAACACCCAATAATCTCTATTGTGAATGGGGTTCTGGTTGATCTACCAGCTCCTTCTAATATTAGTTATTACTGGAATTTTGGTTCTTTGTTAGGACTTTGTTTAACTATTCAATTGATTACCGGAATATTTTTAGCTATGCATTATTGTTCTGACGTTAGTTTAGCTTTTGACTCAATTTCCCATATTTTAAGAGACGTTAATTATGGTTTTATGTTAAAGTATATTCATGCTAATGGAGCTTCATTATTTTTTCTCTGTGTTTATATCCATATGGGCAGGGGACTCTATTATGGGAGCTACATGAAAATGGACGTTTGGAATATAGGGGTTATAATTTACTTAGTAATGATGTTAACAGCCTTCTTAGGGTATGTATTACCTTGGGGCCAAATGTCCTTTTGGGGAGCAACAGTTATTACTAACTTTTGTTCTGCTATACCTTATATAGGAACAGATATTGTTCAGTGGATTTGGGGGGGATTTAGTGTATCTAACGCGACTCTTAATCGGTTTTTTTCTCTACATTATCTTTTTCCTTTTCTTATAGTTGGATTAGGCATATTACATATTCTTAGTTTACACACAGCCGGGTCAAATAATCCTTTAGGTATTGACTCTAATATAGACAAAGTTACCTTTCATGTTTATTATACTTATAAGGACTTGTTTGGTATAATGGTACTTAGCACTATTTTAATTATACTTTGTTATTTTATGCCTAATGTATTAGGTGATCCTGAAAATTTCATCCAAGCCAATCCTTTAGTAACTCCTGTTCATATCCAACCAGAATGGTACTTCTTATTTGCATACGCTATATTACGCTCTATACCCAACAAACTTGGGGGGGTCTTGGCTATGGTATTTAGTATCTTGGTGTTATTATTATTGCCCCTTATTCATACTAGTAAATTGAGAGCTTTAACGTTTAGGCCTTTAGGTAAAATAGCATTTTGGTTTTTAGTGGCTGATTTTATACTATTAACCTGGTTGGGGGCCAATCCAGTAGAGGAGCCTTATGTTATGGTTGGTCAATTTGCTTCTATATTTTACTTTACCTACTTTTTATTGTTAATCCCCCTGTTAGGTTGGGTAGAAAATTATTTACTGAAATAGCCCCCCTTAATCTTGGGTAACTTTTTGTTGTTGGTAATAAGCCTCACTGAATAGACAGGTTGTCGGCATGCTTATAGACCAACCGGCCCCTGCTTTTCTATAGCTTATCACCCCAAGGTAAATCAGATAAGTGTAAGTATTTACGACAATTTACACATATTCTATGACACTGGAGAGCCGGCGGCCTCCTTAATATCAGATGAATAGCTTATTTATCATAATATCCTTAGGAATAGTTGTAGCTAGTTTTATGGTCATATCTACGCCGAATCCTGTTTATTCAGTATTCTGGTTAGTTATTGCCTTTGTTAATGCTGCTGTTATGTTTATATCGTTGGAATTAGACTACATAGGCCTAATATTTATAATTGTCTATGTGGGGGCTATCGCTATTTTATTCCTGTTCGTAATTATGTTAATTCAACAGCCTAATAAGGTATATTCTCAAGATCACTCGCATTTTTTACCTGTAGGATTATCTGTTATATTCCTATTTTCTAGTTTACTCACCAATAGCCCGAAATATATCAGCAATCCTGTTATAGGGTCTAAAACTAACATTGGAGCAATTGGAAGTCATCTTTATACAACTTATTATGAGTTAGTGTTAATTGCTAGTTTGGTGTTACTAGTAGCTATGATAGGGGCCATATTATTAGCCAAGCAACCAAATTCACCTTTTTTGTATAATTTCTATGGTGAATCATTACGTAGTAGGCAAGATCTCTTCCTACAAATCAGCAGAGAGCACCTTTAGGTGCCTTCTGGCCAAGTGCTAGTGCACGTCTCCGCTTAGAAACATGGAGTTCAAAGGAATACTAATACTACTTATCGTTAGCGGGACATTATCAATTCTAATCTTAGGGGCATCTTATCTATTAGGATATAAACAACCCGATATGGAAAAAGTGTCAGTCTATGAATGTGGGTTTGATCCTTTTGATAACCCGGGAAATCCCTTTTCCGTTAGATTCTTCTTAATTGGTATCTTGTTTTTAATATTTGATCTTGAAATATCTTTTTTATTTCCCTGGGCTGTCACATATATGGGCCTACCTTTATTTGGATATTGGGTTATTATGTTATTTTTATTTATCTTAACTTTAGGGTTAATTTATGAGTGGATAGAAGGGGGCTTAGAGTGGGAAAACTAGCCTCTAATTGGTATAGCGTATGTCTTATTTAATATTGTCAATTGTCATCTTATTAATCGGAATTTTAGGTATTATTCTTAATAGAAGCAATTTAATTATTATGTTAATGTGTGTAGAGCTAGTTTTACTGGCCTCTACTATTTTGCTTCTATTTGAGTCTCGTGTGCTTTACACGCTTTTTGGTCAAATTTTTGCGATTGTAATTCTAACTGTTGCAGCTGCCGAATCTGCTATCGGTTTAGCCATTATGGTTAACTATTACCGTTTACGTGGTACAATTGCTGTTCGAGCCTTAAATTTATTAAGAGGTTAACTCCTAATTAGAAATGAGCCAAATACCTATGCAATATTTTAACTTAGCGGAGGAAAATTATTCTAAGTATGGATTATCAGTAATACAGCTTATACAGATTGGTAAGTTCTATGAACTTTGGCATGAGCCTGATACTCGTAGTAAGCAACAAGCATACTTTCAAGCCGAGTTATTAGTTGAGTCATCCATGCGAAGTGGGCCTTTGGGGGCAACGCCACCTATTGAACAAGTTGCCTCGTCACTTGATATGAGAATAACGTCGCCCGGTAAAAGATCCTTGCTTCAAATGGGGTTTCCAATTTATTCCCTTACTACCCACCTAAGTACCTTGTTGGATAAAGGTTGGACTGTTATAGTTATCGATGAATTAGTCACTGGTAAATCGGGACCAAAACAACGCGCAGTGTCTCAGGTCTACTCTCCTAGTTGTAATTTAGAGGACTGTTCGGAGTTATCCTATGTGTTATCGATTTATTTTTCTCAAGACGACTTATTAGGTATTACTTTATTTTCAGCCATGAGTGGGCATAGTATAATGTTTCCTGTCTCTTGGACGGACAGAGACAAAGTGGCCCGGTTATTAATTAGCTATCGTGTTAGAGAAATAGTAATTTGGGTAAACTTGGGGGTTGGCTTAGATATTTTAACAAATAAAATATATAATTTGTTAATTGATTGAAATTTATTCCCCTCTGAGCCCAATGCTAAAATTGAAGTTATGGGAGAAACACTAACCAACTTGCCGTGTTATTTATCTTATAGGTACGAAAATAATAATAAGGAGTGGCTTTTGCTCCATGTTTATGTGGGCATTAACGCAGAGTGGTTTAACAAAAATTATCAAAAATATACCCTTAGTAAGATATTTCAAAGTACTTGGACAGAAAATGTTAATCAGGTAAATTTAATTAGCCTTTTAGGAGTATTACACTTTATTAACGATCGAAATCCTGATCTTATTAAAAACCTCCAGCTCCCCGAGTGTTACAATTCTGCTGTTAGCCCCCTAAACTTAATATTATGTAATCGAGCAGAATATCAATTGGACTTATTGCCTAAGGGAGGAAAACTGGGCGGGCTACTTAGTTTGGTTGATTACTGTTCTACTGCAATGGGTAAAAGACTACTTAAATTCAGACTTCTTAACCCCATTACAGATTATTATGAATTAAATCTCCGTTATGAGGAGATTGCTACATTTAAACAATTAATTGACAAGAAAATATTTGACAATTTCGAGTTAAAACACATTAAAGATTTATCTTCTTTACATCGTCAATGGGCAATATGTGCCTCGAGTGATACTGCCTTGCCACCTAAAAAGTTAAGTAAAATTTACCATTCTTATTTGTTTGCTAGTCAACTAATAAGTAAGTTAACAAATAATAAATGAATTAATGTTCAATTACCCCCCTCAGTCGGGCCCCAACTAGAATCGCTAATTGAGGAAATAGGCCGAGTTTTCCAGGTAGATAGCCTTTTAGGTGATTTTAAATATGTATTACGGCCAACTGATAATTTAACTAACCTCCTTGCACAACAACAAATTTTAAGGGCCCAACTTACAGAGTGGGCCGAACAGACTTCAAATATTGTGTTTCAAGACACAATTTCTATTAAAGCTGAATATTTTAATAAAGAGGGCTATGCTTTCGCTATTTCGTATAAAAAGTTAGTTAAGTTAGAACATTACATGACTAACGCCCCCATGTCCGATAATCCAATTATTGTGTTGGGTAAAAGAGGAAGTAGCCTTATAATAACTAGTTCCACCATTCAAAAAGTCTCAATCAAATTAAGTTTATTAGAAGAGCAAATTAATACTTATGTTAAACAAACTTATAACCGGGAACTTAAAAGATTATATTTTAGTTATTCTGATCTGTTTTTACCCTTAGTAAATATGATTTCTAGATTAGATGTTGCACTAAGCGGGGCTATTGCGGCTATTAAGTTCAATTATACTAAACCCTGCTTAACGAAACACCAACAAACCAGGGGATTAATTGAAGCAATTAACCTGCGACACCCACTAGTAGAACAGTTGAACACTCAAGAAGAATGTGTAGCCCATAATATTAGTTTAGAGGATAAGGGAATGTTAATATTCTCAGTAAATGGTGCAGGAAAATCTACTCTACTTAGAACAATTGGAGTAAACGTAATCTTAGCTCAAGCAGGAATGTATGTAGCTGCAGACTCATTTAGGTTAAGACCTTATCACTATTTAATTACTCGTATTTTGGGGGGGGATGATCTTCATAAAGGCCAAGGTACTTTTGAGGTCGAAATGAGAGATCTTTCAACTATATTAAAGCTAGCTAATTATAACAGTTTAATATTAGGGGACGAAATTTGTCATGGAACAGAAGTCAGTTCAGGGACAGCAATATTAGCTGCAACAATTGAAAGATTAACAGCTGCACAAACTAGTTTTGTTCTTTCTACTCATTTACATCAAGTTTTTTCTTTAATTGATTCGCCAGTTCGGTGCTATCATTTATCTGTTATGCAACAAAAAGATTTGGGCCTAATTTATGAACGTAAATTAAAACCTGGTCCGGGACCCTCCCAATATGGCATTGAAGTTATGGGCCACATAATTAATGACAAAAAATTTTATAATAGTGCTTTAAAATATCGTAAACTTATTAACTGGGAGCCACCATCCCGAAGTGGGTTAAGTTCTTTAGCAGTATTCCGCCCTTCTAAATATAATGCTCAAGTTTTTATTGATTCGTGTGAAATATGCGGAGCTCCAGCGGAAGCTATCCACCACATTCAACCTGAAAAATTATGTAATAGAAGGTCTAACTTGGTGCCAGTCTGCTCAAGCTGTCATTTAGATATTCATAGAAATAAGATCTCTATTTTAGGTTGAAAGAGAACCCCGGGACATAGGAAATTATATTGGGTTTATCTTAATGAGTCTTTAGACAGTGGAACTGAGTAAAGTCTAGGGTCTATCGGTAAGGACGTGAAATACGAAATAACAAGGGAGAGACTTTGAACTTGTTTATCCTAACTGAAAAGGGTAAGTTGAATAGTTAATTGAAACATCTTACTAAACTATGAGGAATACATCAACTGAGATTCCGTGCGTAGCGGCGAGCGATAGCGGAGAAATTGTCTTAAACAGATAATTAAGATGATTGGACATCTAGACTAAACCCCGATAGACACCTATAGAGAAAGTACCGTGAGGGAAAGACTCAGAATTGGTTCTAAAAGTTACCTTTTGCATAATGGGCCTGCAAGACAAGATTTGGCAAGCTTAAGTAGTAAATGAAGGCGTAGTGATAGCAAGACAAACTCGTTAGTCAAATTTTCCCGAAACCAAGTGATCTAACCATGGCCAGGTAGCTATGCTGACCGAACCAGTGATTGTGGCAAAAATCTTGGATGAGCTGTGGTTAGCGGTGAAATACTAGTCGAACTTGGATATAGCTGGTTCTCTACGAAACTTATCTTAGTAAGGCGCCCCAAGCTGATTCGCCCCCAAACCCCGGGGGTTTGAATTACTGGTGTAGTAAGACTATGGCGATAAGGCCCCTAGTCAAGAGGGGGAAGCCCCAACCAGAAATTAAAGTCACTAATACAGATTAAGTGTATAAAGAGGGCTCAACTTAGACAAACAGAAAGTAGGCTTGGAAACAGCCATCTGCACAGGAAAACGTAAAAGTTCACTGAATGAGCCAGGGACCTCTAATAATTAAGGCGGCTAAATCTGTAACTGAAATTCTGGAAGCCAGACCGTAAGGAAGCATCAACTGGCTTGTTAGTAGAGCGTTCTGTAGGCACGATATGTGCGCACCTTGTAAGATAAACAGAAGTGATAATGCAGGCATGAGTAGTACAAGATTAACTCCCAAATAAATATATATATATGTATACAGCTTCTAAGGACATTATGCCCGATGAATTATAATTTTTATACCTGTTCAGGAAAAATATTATGGTACTTCGTACCTTCAACTGTTATTTATGGGATTTATATCTAGGCATAATTTCTCTTAAGGAACTCGGCAAAATAAGATCTCGACTGTTTACCAAAAACATAGCTCTCTGCTAAAGGCTACTTAAGTATAGGGGGTGAATTCTGCCCAATGGTTGTACAGTGAAACTAAGTACTAACGTATAAAGCGAAACCCAACTGAATGGCCGCGGTAACTCTGACCGTGATAATGTAGCACAATAAATAGCCAATTAATTGTTGGCGGGTATGAATGGAACCACGAGGGTTTTACTGTCTCAAGAGGAAAGCCGATGAAATTATAGTTGTAGTGAAGATACTACATAGACTTTGTAAGACGAAAAGACCCTATCGAGCTTTACGGGATACCGATAGCGTTAACTCAAAATGATCGATACTAAGTATTCTAATTTTGAGTTAATAATTTTTGTTGGTGGGACAGTTTAGTTGGGGCGACTGCCTTTGAATAAGAAACGAAGGCGAGCTTATGGTATACAAAGCTAATCTCATTAGCCTGACAGTGAGGGGGACACCCCTAGCTGGCACAAGGACTACATCCTATGTGGGCGATAATGACCCGATATAATTGTCCAAAATAAATATCGAAAGCGAATAAAAGCTACCGTAGGGATAACAGCGTAATATTGTCGGAGAGTTCTTATCGAGGACAGTGTTTGCGACCTCGATGTTGAATTGCGGTGCCCTGGTGCTGTAGAAGGTACCCTAGGTTGGTCTGTTCGACCATGAAAACCGTACATGATTTGAGTTCAGAGCGTGGTGACACAGCTCGGTTTCTATCTACAATGTTCAATCCCAACTTTTTTGAGTCCTAGTACGCAAGGAATGGTCTCAGCGATGCTCGACTATATTGGCCCCATCGATGTAATTAACTTCTGGCTGCTGCAAAGAAGGAGAACAAAAGGTTTAGGGATTAATAAGATCACCTTCTTATATGCCATGTGGGTGCATAGCCCCTGGCATACTATGGAATTAACACTAGGGCTCATCATACTAATAGTGTTGACGTATGGATTAAAGGCCCCTACTTTAAGATTAGCTATGCTACTTGCGGGGGCTGCTGGGCTATTAGCTGTGCCCCACCTACTATGTTGGACACAGGCGATTAAGATGTTGGTGATGCTTAGTGGGTTAGCTATACTATGTATGCTGGACCATCAAACATCGCATCGATCAAGCTCTTTATTGATTTTATTAGTGATCTTAGGTAATTTATTACTTATTGGGTCAACAAATTTAATTTCTATATATTTAGCATTAGAAATGCAAACATTATGTATGTTTATCTTAGTGGCTTATAATAAAAACTCATTATTATCGGCAGAAGCTGGGCTGAAATACTTCGTGTTGGGGGCACTATCTTCGGGGTTGTTCCTGTTTGGTTGCGCCTTAATTTATGGCTCCACAGGAGAGCTTGAGCTTCAATTTATTCGTATGAGCATAGTATCTTATGAGATATTAGCTGGTAAATGTTTTATTACTATCTCATTGTTATTTAAAGTATCTGCAGCCCCATTTCATATGTGGGCCCCCGATGTCTACGAGGGGGCTCCAACTTGGGTAGCTGCGCTATTATCTATCGTGCCTAAACTGGGAGTACTAGCTATTATAGTACAAATAGGCTTAAATGAAATGGGGTTATTAATAGCCGGATTAATTTCTTTGATTGTCGGGGCTATAGGAGCTTTGAATCAAACTCGAATAAAAAGACTACTAGCTTATAGCGGGATAAGTCACATGGGGTTTGTGTTGCTTGGAATAGCCATTGGGTCTATAGAAAGTCTTCAGGCGAGTTTAATGTATATAGGTGCCTATATAATAACTCAAGTTCTACTTTGGTCTGTAGTACTAATTATATCCCCTAAAAGAGACATGCTTATTGAATTTAGTGGTGTTTCAAGATTAAGCCCAATGTTAGCACTAGCATTAGCTACAGGTTTATTGTCTACTGCAGGAATTCCCCCTTTAATTGGGTTTTTAACTAAATGGTATATTATCTTAGCAGCTGTTGGTAAAGGTTACTATATTAGCGCTTTAACAGCTTTAGTTTGTTCCGTGATAGCTGGAGTTTATTACCTTAGATTAGTTAAAATTATGTTTTATCAACCTTTGTCAACGCCTTTAGTAATAACAAAGATACTAAATTCTCCACGTGGCAGCGTAGCACCGGAGGAAACGGGCTTAGGCAAGGCAATATTAATAGGGGCAAGTTTATATTTAGTATTAACAATTATAGTATGTCCTAGTTTGTTCTTTCAGTTAACACATTTAATTATTTTAGATTTATTCCCATGTATCTTCTAGTTATATTAATACCACTACTAAGCGCAGTCGGAAGCGGACTAGGGGGTCGCCATCTAGGAAGAAAGGGGGCTGGCCTGTTAAGTTCTGTGTGTGTTCTCGCCAGTAGCCTTCTCTCTTTTGTATTATGTTATGAAATCCTTATTAATGGGGCTACAGTATATATAGAGTTAGGCAGATGGATAGAGTCAGATTTACTAATGACTAGCTTTGGCTTCCAATTTGATATGGTAACAGCTGTAATGTTAATAGTAGTAACCACAATTAGCGGGCTAGTTCATGTATATTCTACAAGTTATATGAGAGAAGACCCCCATTTACCTAGATTTATGAGCTATCTGTCTCTATTTACCTTTTTTATGTTAGTTTTAGTTACTAGTAATAATTATGTGCAATTATTTATTGGTTGGGAAGGTGTCGGTTTATGTTCTTATTTATTAATTAACTTTTGGTTTACGCGTATACAAGCTAATAAAGCAGCAATTAAGGCAATGTTAATTAATAGAATAGGGGATATAGGATTAATGCTAGCTATTATATTAATCTGGAAAGAATTTGGGGTATTAGATTACTGTAGTTTATTCTCCGCCTTATCATCATCTTCAGCTTGTACTTGTATTTGTATACTACTAACTATAGGGGCCGTAGGAAAATCTGCCCAATTAGGGTTGCATACTTGGTTGCCGGATGCTATGGAGGGCCCCACACCTGTTTCGGCCCTAATTCACGCAGCGACAATGGTGACAGCAGGGGTGTTTTTAATTATAAGATCAGCTCCCCTTTTTGATTACTCTCCAACTGCAACAATTATTGTGGGGTTAGTTGGCTCCTTAACTGCTTTTTTTGCAGCTACAGTAGGATTAGTCCAATCGGATATAAAAAAAGTTATTGCTTATTCTACTTGTAGTCAATTAGGATATATGGTAATGGCTTGTGGCACTTATAGCTGTCTAAGTAGTTTATATCATCTATTAACTCATGCTTTCTTTAAGGCTTTATTATTCTTGGGGGCGGGCTCAATAATTCATGCTCTTTTAGATGAACAAGATCTTAGAAAAATGGGGGGGATAATCCGGGGCCTACCTTTAACATATGTATTAATGTTGATTGGTTCATTGTCTTTAGCTGGCTTTCCCTATTTATCTGGATTTTACTCTAAAGATTTAATATTGGAATTAACTTATAATAATTATTGTTTAATATCTATTTATTGGTTAGCTTCAATTACAGCCTTCTTAACTGCTTTTTATTCATTCCGATTAATCTACTTAAGTTTTGTGTCTAAGCCTAATTTAACACGTATAAGCGCACAACACTTACAAGAAGCTGATTGGAACTTATTGGGTCCTTTATTAGTATTAGCAGCAGGAAGTATATTAGTTGGTTATATTGCCCAAAATATGGTGTTTGCGCCGGGGATACGTCCCTTGCCGCTTGTGCCTACAATAGTTTCTTTAGCACCAGTTATTATGTCCGTAACAGGTATATTACTAGTGTTTATACTTCGTCCATATGTTGTCTATTATATTACACGCCCCAGCATATATGGTTTTTTATTTTATGCCTGGGAGTTTAATCAAATAGCAAATTATTATATTGGAAGCGCAGTTTGGAAGTTCGGCCATTTTGTGTCTTATCGTACTATAGATAGGGGAGTTTTAGAGATTTTAGGCCCCACTGGAATAGCTCGATTCATGGTTGAGAGAACTAAAGAGTTAAGCAGCCTACAATCTGGTTTATTATTTAATTATGCATTAATGATATTAGTTGGAACAGCTATCGCACTTAAGTACCTAGTCGCAAATTAGAAACAGGTTCTTTTCCAAGTCCGGAGTAATATCCTAAAATAGGAGAAAACTAGCCGCAAGGTAGTGGCTAGTAATTATATTAATATGATATTAACTTGTATAGTTGGCTCTATATTAGTAAGTATAGTAATTATAGCATTAATTCCCAGGGAAAATAGTCTGAAACTACGCCAGCAAGCGTTAGAGTGGTCTCTGATTACATTTGCTCTTTCTATTTTATTATTAGTTAACCTTCATCAAGAAGCTCAATTTCAACAGATAATAGAATTCAATTGGGTAAGTACAATAGGTTGGTTTGAAGGTTCTCCAATATTGTTTGCTATTGACGGGATCTCTATATTTTTCATTGTACTAAGTACTTTATTAACCCCTATTTGTATCTTAGTAAGTTGGAATAGTATTAAGTTTCTTGTTAAGGAGTTTATTATATGCCTTTTAGGCATGGAGTTACTATTAATTGGGGTATTTTCAACATTAGATCTGTTAATATTTTATGTGCTATTTGAGAGCATATTAATACCTATGTTCTTAATAATCGGAGTGTGGGGAGCTCGGGCAGAGAAGATAAAAGCTGCCTATTATTTCTTTTTTTATACTTTAGTTGGTTCAATATTAATGTTACTTAGCATAGCAGTTATTTATAGAATAACGGGCACAACCGACTACTTATCTTTAACTAACATTCAAATTGATAATAACATTCAAATTTGGTTATTTGTGGGTTTCTTCCTTAGTTTAGCAGTTAAAATACCTATGATCCCCTTTCATATATGGTTGCCTCTTGCGCATGTTGAGGCTCCTTTAGCTGGTTCAGTGATTCTGGCTGGAATATTATTAAAATTAGGGGGTTATGGATTCATTAGATTCGCTTGGCCTCTTTTCCCAGAAGCAACAGAGTATTTAGCACCAATCATATTAACGTTATCATTAATAGCAGTAATATATGGAAGTTTAACTACTTGCAGACAGGTAGATGCGAAACGTCTGATAGCCTATTCCTCGGTAGCTCATATGGGAATAGTAACAATAGGCTTATTTACTCATACGATGGAGGGTTTAATAGCCTCTATATTCTTAATGATAGCCCATGGAGTGGTTAGCCCCGCTTTATTTATAGCAGTAACGCTGCTCTATGAGAGACATCACACAAGGTTAATTAGGTATTATAGGGGAGTAGTTATGACTATGCCCCTATTTTCTATCATATTTATGGTGTTTACTTTAGCTAATATTGCTGTTCCTCTTAGTTGTAACTTTGTCGGAGAATTTTTATCCTTAGTGGCTGCTTTTTCTACTAGTACATCATTAGGTATTCTTACCTCAACTAGTATGGTCATAGCTGCTGCTTATTCGTTATATTTATATAATAGAATTTGTTTTGGGCAACTTTCTCCATATTTAATATTTTCGAGAGATATTAATAGACGAGAGTTTAATGGGCAATTACCGCTAATAGTAGCTATTGTATTATTGGGGGTAGTTCCATACCCCCTAATCGAGTTAGTTCGTGTATGTTTGCCCAGATTTTTATAATTTTCCTCTTTCCTGTGCCTACTTGGTTTTTATGTGTGTGTGTGTGTGTGTGTGTGTACTTATTTTTAATGGTGGTAGGGGCAGGAGTTGAACCTACATAACCAGATTATGAGTCTGAGAACTTACCGTTAGTTGACCCTACAAGCTGAGCTTAGCTAAGCACTATGTAACCATGGCCCGGGCTAAGAGCCCCACCAGTAAATACATACATACAAAAACAACCAAACCACATCTACAAAATGCCAATACCAACTAGCAGCCTCAAAACCAAAATGATGATGACGAGTATAGTGATAACCTATTAGTCTAGCTAGACACACAGTCAAAAATACAGTCCCTATTATAACATGAAAACCATGAAAACCTGTGGCCATAAAAAAGGTTGAACCATAGACGGAGTCGGAAATCGCAAAGGGCGCTTCGTAATACTCCATAGCTTGTAGGGCTGTGAATTGAATTCCAAGGATTACGGTACAAGTCAGTGATTGTATGGCCTCTAATCTTTGTCCGCTAACTATGGCGTGATGTGCCCATGTAACTGTTGCTCCTGAACTAAGTAATATAGCTGTGTTTAATAGGGGCACAGAAAATGGGTCTAACACTTCTATACCAACAGGGGGCCAAACAGCCCCCAATTCTATAGTGGGAGATAAACTACTATGAAAGAAAGCCCAAAAGAACGCAAAAAAGAAGCAAACTTCAGAAGTAATAAAAAGGATCATACCATATCTTAATCCTTTTTTTACTATTTGAGTGTGGTGTCCTTGGAAAGTGGCTTCTCTAATAATATCTTTCCACCAAACAAACATTGTTAATATTATAGTTATTGCGCCTAAATACATTATCCATGTATAACTGTAATGAAAATATAACACTGAGCCCACTGTAATTAGTAGGGCCCCAATTGCGCCTATATAAGGCCATGGACTAGGGTCCACTAAATGATAAGGGTGATAAGCCTTACTCATGGCTCCCCGGCGGGGAATCGAGCGGAGACTAATACTCCTACCCAACAATTATTCTAAGTGTGGGTTAATGTAGATTTAGAGTATCATTAATGTATATGGTAGTTAGTAAACAAAATACATATGCTTGAATCAAGGCCACGGCAATTTCTAGTAAAGTTATAAAAACCATTACTAATATTGGGGCTAAGCTTAAGACTAACATTCCATTACTAATCATTGCAAACCCAAAACTTGCTAATATAGCAAATAAAAGGTGTCCAGCAGATAAATTAGCCGCTAATCGAACACCTAAGGAAATTGCCCGGGAAAGATAGCTAACCGTTTCAATTATAACTAATAGCGGGGCTAATGATAAAGGAGCCCCGCTAGGCATCATCATTGAAGCAAAGTTCCAACGGTATTGTGTTATACCCAATATTGTCACTGCTATTAAAATAGATAAACTTAGCCCGAAAGTAATAACAATATGGGCAGTTGGGGTAAACACATAAGGAAATAGACCTAACAGATTTAGTCCAGCAATAAACGCAAATAGGGTTATAATAAAAGTAAAATACTGAGTTCCCTTATTAGCTGTAGAGTCTTTTACTAATTCTAAAAAGTGGGTATAAACAATCTCTTGTATAGCCTGCAATCTTGTAGGTATTAATTTATATGAACAACTCCCTATTAATATTGCACTTAATAGAATAAGCATCATAAGAGAAGAATTAGTAATTATCCCCCCAATTATCCGAACTACATTAAATTGATCAAAGAAAGAAGCTGCCATATTGAATATATGTAGGAAATGTCCCTATCTACGGAGTATATCTTGTAGTATAGCATATGCTCGATTAACCCCGAGTCCCTTACTAGGGGCTGCCCCCTCTTCCTGTAGTATACTTCTTATACGTAAATTATTTTGAATTTTAGGTAAAATAAATAAACTCATAATACTATAAAGTGCTAACAAAATTATTAGTGTCCAGCTATATTGAGTTAAATAAGCAGTTATATCTAAGTGAGGCATTATTCGATGATTGAAAGATCCTCTAAAGATCAGCACATAATGAAGATAGCCAGCTGATATATTTATCCATGCTAACAGCCTCTATAACAATGGGCATAAAAGAGTGATTAGCACCACATAACTCGGAACATTGACCATAAAATAATCCCGGTCTTTTAGCTAAAAACCCGGTTTGATTAAGACGTCCAGGCACAGCATCCATTTTAATAGCTAATGAAGGTACAGCAAATGAGTGAAGTACATCTGCGCCTGTAACTAAAACTCTTACATAAGTATCAATAGGAACAACCATTCTATTGTCAACTTCTAATAGTCGGAGATCGCCGGGTTGAAGGTCACTCGTAGGTATCATGTAAGAATCAAATTCTAAGGTACTATCTTCACCTAAGGTAGTTTGATAGTCTGAATACTCATAAGACCAATACCATTGATGACCTATGGCTTTTACTGTCACACCGGGTTCTACTATCTCATCCATCAAATAAAGTAGTTTCAAAGAAGGGAATGCTATAAACACTAGTATAACTGCCGGTATTATAGTCCAAACAATTTCTATCGTAACCCCCTCAATAAGATAGCGATGATAAGCTTGGCCTGTTAATCCTCTTATAATCAACCACAATACAGTTGTTATTATAATAATTAAAATAAACATAATTTGGTTATGTAGAAACAAAATCTCTTCCATAACAGGACTAGCAGCATCTTGGAAGCTTAGTTGAAATGGCTCAGCCGCGTCACGTAGGAGCGAGGCCTCTAATAATGCATTAATTGGAGTTTTCATTCTTCTCTAGCCCTGTTACTTTGTTGACACACCCAAAAGCTTTTCCAATTCCGTATATATGGCCCCAAGAGTGTTCTCACCTACTTTAGATTACTTTTAATCTAGAGTAAGC